AAAAAAAAAAAAAAAAAAAAAAAAAAAAAAAAAAAAAAAAAAAAACTCCTCCAGCCTCTACCCATTATCTACTTCCAAAGCCACTTTTACATTTTTGGGTATTCATTACAGCAGCACCCCACTTCTCAGTATCAAAATCTGTATTTGTTTGCTCGAGCTGCCATAACAAAATACCATAGACTGGATGACTTAAACAACAGAAATTAATTCCTCACAGTTCTGAACACTGGGAGGTCCAAGATTAAGGTGCCAGCAAGGTAGGTTTTATTCTGAGGCCTCTTCTCTTGTCTTTGTAGGCAACCACCTTCTTGCTGTGTGTTCACATGACCTTTTCTTTGTGCATGCATTCTTATTCTTCTTATAAGATTACCAATCCTATCAGATTAGAGCCCCATCCTTATGAACTCATTTAACCTTAATTACTTCCTAGAGGCCCTATCTCCAAACACAGATACATTGGGGGTAAGGGTTTATACATACAAATTTGGGGGGCAAACAATTCAGTCCATGTCCTCTGCAATGTCTTCTTTGAACCCCAGAAAAATCCTGTGAGCTTTATATTGTGAAACTCATTTTATAGATAAACAAACTGAGACTTTGAGAAGTCTGCTGGGTTCCACCAGCAGGTTTTTCCTCCCTTTCCTAACCTCTCCCATGCCGAACCCAAGAGCGAGCTGCCCTAATGCTTCACCCCTCGGCCCTAGAGACGACCAGGGGATCTCCCTGGGGGCAGTGAGTGATCTGCCCGCCAACCCAGCCCCGTAGAAAGGACACTTAGACTCGGCAGGGGTTCTGTCAAGCAGTTCCATTTATTGTTTGTTAAGCAAGTGTATTTAAGCTTTGCCAGCGGGGGAGTTCCCTCCGCCCAGCCAATCAGGGTAAAGATCACACGGTCATGCATGGGGGTTCCTTAAGCTATACTAAGCAATCATGCCTTGATCACGAGAGTGGAAAACCAGGGCTGCCAATGGAATTAAACAAAAACAAAATGCGGAACCCAGCTGTCCCCTCCCACCTTGCTTCCTCTCGGCACCATCTTTAGGTGGCCGCATGGAGAGGGCCTTGCCTCAATCACCATTTTGGCGTTACTGAATCGCATATGAGCCCAACAGAAGTCCAGACTGGAGACTGAGCAGCAAAGATGGGATTTGAATGAGGCTCATTTGACTCTAGAGTCCCAGCTCTTGATTTCCATACTGTAATAGACATAGATTATTATGTTTTAGTATATATGGTAATGCTACTTAATTTGCCTAATAAACTTTTACTTTATAGAAAAGTAAGGTAAACTTTATACTGAATTATTTAAAGTTTTGTATCTGAATCTGAATCAACAGGGTATTATTTAATACATTTTCTGATTGCTATTCTTAGGCACAAGTTTGAGTCAATAGAGACCTTTGGTTATGACACACACTAAACTCTGGTTAAAATCAATGTGTTTAAGCTTAAAACAACAGACGATGCTAAAGCATTACAAAGAGAAGGTCATTCTTGAGTCGCTCATCACATTTACCATTAACCCCCTTTAGAATTAAAAGTCTTTAAGGGCTAGCCGGTTTGCTCATTTGATTAGAGCCTGGTGCTGATAACACCAATGTCCAGGTTTTGATCCCTGTACTGGCCAGATGCCAAAAAAAAAAAAAAAAAAAGTCTTTAAATATGTGGATTAAATTACTAGATCTTTAATATCCATCAGTACTGATTACCTAAAAGACAGTGTTAAAGTCTTTTTTTTTTTTAAGCAATTAAAATCACCACAAATCCCACTGATTTCAGTAAGTACTCTATGGCAAACAAGAAAAGAGCTTTGATTTCCATTTTTCACCATGGGAACTCAAAACATAAGGCTTTAAGTGTTTATCTTAAAGCCACACAGCAAAATGGAGAAAGAAGCAGGGGAACAGCATAGGTCCTA